TTATGGACAACTTTTATGTATGGTGAGGGGCTATTAATTTCTTTAGCTAAAGGCGTGTAGTTGACGGTCCTGCCATCATATAAAATCAACTCTGGAACAGAAGTGTGTGGAGCAGGCCTATGAAGGGATTAAAACACGGACAAGATGGCAGACGCTGTCAGGTCAATCTGATACACATGTTAATACAACTCGAGTTTTGAGGAGAGAGAAAGATAGGGACCGTTACGTTAGTCGGCTTCGTTTTCCTGGTATAGCGCGTGACTGTCTGGAAAAATTAGTTATGAAGGAGGTGGCTTCGGATGATTTTTTTTTCCCACTGAAATGGCTTCGCTGTGTGCACGGAGGACAATAGTAGCAGGCTGCGCTGGTCAATGACAAATTAAAAAATTGATCGCGTGATGTAGGTCGCACGTTTCCCAGTTCACCACCTTGAGAGTGAGCTTGTTTCCGATATGTTGGACCTTGGGCAAACCCCCCGAGTTATAGGCTTGTGGTAGTTCTTGGCCCAGGACGGATTTCAGGGTGTGGGCTTAGGCCTCTTATATTTCAGCTTTTCTGTGTACTATTAATTCCATGCATGAGTTACCGCAGTTAAGGTTACAAATTGTTGACATTGTTTAACGTTCAAGAAGGTACTCTGTCGCAGTAGTAGCTTGTTTCATCGTTAGAAAATTATACTGATAAGATAGTGTCCTTGAGGTGGCTGCATACATCCAAAGCCTTGAGGTATCTGATATATGTATTTCCTGTATTTGAGATTGGCCAGGCAGGCTAGGCAGGTGTAAGGTGATCTAATTTTATATATCTCGGGCCCTGGCTGCTGCCCTGCCGTTTCCCGCCCGGCGTCTTTGGGTCGCTTGCAGCCGCAAGTCCGCGGCGCGGTTGCTGCGCACCTGCCAAGTGCCCCCACGCCTTCTGGACGGCCGCCTCTACTGCTTCCGCTGCTACCAGTATGCGCCTGCCGCCTGGAAAAAGTAATATACATTTGCATTTACTCACTGTTTCTCACTTCATGTTACATTCTACCTTTTACGTTCGATCGAAGAACTTCGATTAATATGGATAATATATTTTAATGCCTTGGTGTCCTTTCATTTATAGCTTTCTTCTGCAATTTTTTATATCACACTTAATAGTTTTCCTAATAGATATGCAACCAGGTCAGCCGTAAGGCTCTCGCGGAAGTCAACAATTAGGCGGGAATATTTTTCACCCTGTGCTTTCTTTAAATACGAACACCCTGTATTCGGGTCGTTATTACATCTCTCAGGTAGAAAGGTAAAAAATGTTTTAATCCAATTAATTTCAAAATGTCATCGAGTCTACTAGCACAAAGCATCTAACTACCGCGTCGGCGTCGGGACCGCCTGTGGCCAATTTGTCGGCCCGTCTCCTTGTAAGACAATCGCGGCACTGCCCGAAGGTAGTAGGGCGTGCCCCTGCTCCTCCTCTTCCTGCCGATCTCCGGCTGTAATAAAGAAGTCAAACATCAATTTGGTTTGCCAAGAACTTAAAATTGCAAGAGTCCGCGGAAGGATCAGGGTGGCTTCAGTCGGGAACGACCTTTGGAACGATGCTCCTTATGTGATGGCGCGGGGCGTGTGGTGATGGTGTGTGCGCTTCATGGCTGCGTGCTTTTGTTGTCGAGACTTTCGCCGGATAGCTGACGTTGGCGTCGGCATCACTACGAATGAGTCTCGGGGACAGACACTAGATCGAGTCTGATCAATACGATGTATCATTGGAAGGTATTAATAAGAATGGGTCACAAGGCACTGGCACAGTATCTTGCCAGCATGAAGCGTACTAGGCTGACTTTTTCGGTCATAGGCTAAGCGAAAGGATGCGTGAAGATGGCTTATGACGCGATTGCGCGTGACTGTCTGGAAAGGTGTTGGTCAGACCTGGTTTCCGGGGAAAGTATTTTTTTTTTTACAGGATTGCGTTGTTTGCACGGAGGACTTGTTAGACGCTGGTCGATTACGTCTGCAGATAGTGCAGCATGATGAAATGAAGACCGAGCGCGTGAGGCAGGTCGCGTTTGAGAAAGTGTTGGTTGTCGCGAATTTCCTGATCCAACACATTGATCGTAAGCTTGATACCACTTCGTTGCACGGTGGCAAACCGTTATATCATAGGCCTGGATTAGTCCCTGGCCTAGGACGGATTTCTCGGTATGGGCATAGGCTTCAATGGCTTGTCTCAATATTTTCAATTAGTAATTATTGTTGGAATTCTGGGTAGAAGAAAATTCGGCCTTTATTGCCTTGAATGTGCCTGAAGGCCAAGGCAAACTGGGCATCGCTCCAGTCAGTGCAGCACACCGTTAGATGAATTTCGGGCGGGGCCTTTCTCTGGGCTATATTCTACTTCAGTTGGCTTGTTTCAAAACAGGCTATAGCAGCATTCCTTTTTTTTCATAGGCCTGAAACATCTCAGCCCACTTATATTCTGTTCCATCAATAGGTTCGTGTTCCCATTTTGGTGTGGTTTCCATACTGTATGCTCGGCTGGTGTAATTCTAGCATCCCGATCGTGGAAGGGGGTTCTTTTCCGTTACCAAGGGTGTGAGGGAGGATGAAGGAGTGGTGGATTCTGTATGTGTGGACGGGGTTGTTCAGCAGCGCAAATGATCTGGTTATTTTACACCTCTTGGGCCGTTCTCCCTGCCTCCCTTCTTATATCTGCAGCCCGGTTACTTCTGGTCTGCAGTGGCGCTGTTCAATGGCAACCCACAGCTAGAAGTCGGGTGGAGTCCGACGACCTGGGTGCCGAATGTATAGGCCTGAAAAATTATGCTTTAGCCAAGTTGCTGTGGGAAGACGGACTTCATTTTTCAGTGTTTCTTGATGTATGGGCGGGAGTTTAGCATCGCAAATGATCTAGTTATTTTACACCTCGGGTCTTCCTGCCGCTCTTCTCAAATCGGCAGCCCGGTTACTTCTGGGCTGCAGAGGTGCTGTTCCCCTTGTCCCGGCCCTGGCTGCTGCCCTGCCGTTTCCCGCCTGGCGTCTTTGGCTTGCTTGCAGCCGTAAGTCCGCCGCGCGGTTGCACCGCACCTGCCATGTGCCCCCTGCCTCCTGGACTACTGCCTCTGCTCTTGCTGCTGTCATAGCTGTGCGCCTGCCGCCTGGAAAAAGAAATATTCAATTGCATTTAATCACTGTTTCTCAATGTTACATTCTACCTTTTACATTCGATCGAAACACTTCGAATGGTGAAGATAATATAGTCTAGTGCTTTGGTGTCCTTTCATTTGTAGCTTTCTTCTACATAATCCTGATACGAGATTCCTTTTTCAATTTGCAAATTCTTTTCCAGAGCTTTTGCTCCATTAATCTTGACTCTTGGTGGTTGGCCATAAGCTAAGGAATACATATATATCTTTATTTACTAACTTTACCGCATAATGTGCGACTTCGCTTGAAAGTATCTTGGCCTGTATTTTGCAGCCTAAAACCAATGGGGGTTCATGCGCAGTCTACCCTTCTGTTCATTTCGATTAACGACCTGAGGGTCATCGTGCCACAGGAATTGAACTCGTGGATCATTTTCAAGAGAGGTGGTCCTATTGTAGGGTCTCTCTCCTGCAGCGCAGGTCCATCAAAGACCACCAGGCGACTTTACCTTCCGGAGAACCACCATCACGGAGACCACATTAGGATGGGAAGGAAGTTCTGTGTCTACGTTGTCATATACAAGGAGTATCAGGTGGCTTGATATCAGTGAGGCATACCAGGAGAGTATAGAATGATTAGTCAGCTTTGCCTATCCGGGAAGAGATGCTAGACCGGGCCGTGCGGTTGTGATAATACTTTAGCCAATAATAGCAGAAAGTACCGGGCATTATTATTTCTTTATTGACACGCAGCTAGGAGGGGTGACAATTTATGGGCCAAATGACGTGCATTTCCTCTTTGGGACAAGAACTCGGGATTTGGAACCTGCTGCATCATGTTAATTTCTATGAGCATCCCTATCTTGTAAATTCTTACATTTCCTATAGCATCATAGGCGAATAGTAACTCTGACAGGAGTAATTGCTCATAGGGACGTTTTCTTGCCATTTATATAAGGTTTCATGTTTTTTTGAAAAGCACTGTGTGGCGTGTACGAAGAGGTCGTGATGCCTAGCTTTGAAATTCCAGCTTGCAGCTGGAATCCTGCTGATTCTAGATTTTGAGCATGTGCCAGTGCACATGCTCACAGTGTGGTTGACGATCCTGCCATCATGTAAAATCAAGTCTGGAACAGAAGTGTGTGGAGCAGGCCTATGAATGGATTAAAACACGGCCAAGATGGCGGATGTTGTCAGGCCAATCTGGTAAACATGTTAATTACTACAACTCGAATTTTGCGGAGAGGGAAATATAGGAACCGTTACGTTAGTCTGATTCGCTTTCCTAATATAGCGCGTTACTGTCTGGAAAAATTAGTTATGAAAGAGGTGGCTTCGGTTTTTTTTTCCCACTGAAATGGCTTCGCTGTGTGCACGGAGGACAACAGTAGCAGGCTGTGCTGGTCAACGACAAATTGAAAAATTGATCGCGTGATGCAGGTCGCACATTTCCCAGTTCACCATCTTGAGAGTGAGCCTGTTTCCGATATGTTGGACCTTGGGCAAACCCCCCGAGTTATAGGCTTGTGGTAGTTCTTGGCCCAGGACGGATTTCAGGGTGTGGGTTTAGGCTTCTCTTATATTTCAGCTGTCATGTGTACTATTAATTATTTGTATGAGTTACCCCAGTTTAAGTTACAAATTGTCGACATGGATTAACGTTCAAGAAGGTATTCTGTCGCAGTAGTAGCTTGTTTCATCGCTAGAAAGTTATACTAATGAGATAGTGTCCTTAAGGTGGCTGCATACATCCAAACCCTCGATGTGTATATAGATTTACTGTATTTGAGATTGGCCAGGAAGGGTAGGCAGGTGCAAGGTGATCTAATTTTATATCTCTCGGGCCCTCCTCCCTGCCGCTCTTCTCAAATCTGCAGCCTGGTTACTTCTGGGCTGCAGAGGCACTGTTCCCCTTGGCCCGGCCCTGGCTGCTGCCCTGCCGTTTCCCCGCCTGGCGTCTTTGGCTTGCTTGCAGCCGCAAGTCCGCCGCGCGGTACGAGGAATGGACGGTACAGGGGGGACGGAGGACCTGACGACGGAGATGACGCCGACGACAATAACTATATGCGGACGGCAGACCTTTTTCATTATATGTAAACGTAAATGAGTGACAAAGAGTGAATGTTACATTCTACCTTTTACGTTCGATCGAATAACTTCGATTGATATGGATAATATAGGGAAGTTTTTTTTTCCCCATGTTTTCTTTAAATACGAACACTCTGTATTCGGGACGTTATTACATCTGTCAGGTAAAAAAGTAATAAATGTTTTCATCCGATTAATTGTAAAATGTCATCGAGCCTACTAGCACAAAGCATCAAACTACAGCGTCGGCGCCGGGACCGCCTGTGGCCAATCTGTCGGCCCGTCTCCTTGTAGGATAATCTAGTTAGGGCCCTGAGATTGTAGGGCGTGCTGCTGCTTCTCCCCTCCTCCTCTTCCTCCCGATCTCCGGCTGTATGCTCCTTACCTGCCATGTCCCCCCTGCCTCCTGGACTGCTGCCTCTACTGCGGCTGCTGTTATTGATATACGCCTGCCGTCTGGAAAAAGTAATATACATTTGCATTTACTCACTGTTTCTCACTTAATGTTACATTCTACCTTTTACGTTCGATCGAAGAACTTCGATTGATATGGAAAATATATTTGGATATATGGATAATATAGGGAAGATTTTTTTTCCCTATGTTTTCTTTAAATACAAACACTCTGTATTCGGGACGTTATTACATCTGTCAGGTAAAAAAGTAATAAATGTTTTCATCCGATTAATTTTAAAATGTCATCGAGCCTACTAGCACAAAGCATCAAACTACAGCGTCGGCGCCAGAACCGCCTGTGGCCAATCTGTCGGCCCGTCTCCTTGTAGGATAATCTAGTTAGGGCCCTGAGATTGTAGGGCGTGCTGCTGCTTCTCCCCTCCTCCTCTTCCTTCCGATCTCCGGCTGTAATAAATAAGTCAAACATCAATTTTGTTCAAGTGAGGCATGAAGTGCTTGTTTCATCAGCAGGACGATCAATTTTGTGCGAATCACAAATTCTGCCCGGACGAGCCCGCCCCCAGACAATTCTGAAACCACGGCTGTTTATATTTCTGGAAAAGAAAATTCTTACCTTCAACAGGGCGGCAAGAGGGGAAAATGGGGTTTCTCGAAAAAAAATGGAGGGTGACAAGACAAGAAAAAACCTCCAACGGAAATTACAAAAAAAATAGAAAAAAAATTCCAATATCCCAGCAAAAATACGGAAAAACTCTAAAACAAACTTATGACAATGTAAACTAGCAAAAAAGTAACGAATAACAAAAATGTAAACCGGCAAAAAGTAACAAAACTTAAACTAAGGGCAACAAATTAAGGAAAAGGCAGAAATAAACACAAAACAACAATTAACGCAAAACAAAGAAGAAATATACTCCAAAAGAATAGAAGAAACGAGAACGCAAGGCGGAGCAAAGCAAAGCAAGGGAAGTCCAGGGAAGGCGAGCTATTGTTGTTGATGATGGGCCGTTTACCTTGTGCAAATTTGGCCCAGTGCACAAAATTCAGTTAAGTCCTGGAAATAATATTCTCTATGATAACTTAAGGGGTACCCACTACAGACACAATATCCCATTCTACTGAAATTTTAGTCTACTGCCCCACTGCGCCGATCTGGGGGACTTACACAAGACAGTATAAGGGGAATGGGGCCTTGTGAATTCCGAGGTTTGACAAGGATGGATAACAATCTCTAACTTAATGGATTTTAGGTTTATAATGTGAATAAAAGTCCAGTCTTTTCCAGGAAAATTTATAGAATGAAGGTTACTAATTCTGTATCTGAAGTCTGGAGACCATTATATTTCGCATCTCTAATTAGTAAAGGTATACTCAAAGGGGAAGTGATCCCATCTGTTTGTAATTGTGATTTCATGAAATTTCTCTCCTTCGTAGCATATGCAATCCAACAGTATGTGGGGAATAGTCTCAGACACCTGGCATTATCACAGTGGGGATGGCGGGCAATTTATGCGAAAAAGACCTACTTTTGTACGGGCATGGCCAATTCTAAGCCTACATAGTACTACTTCAAAACGTCTGTTATCTGAGTTACTTATGTCCCATTGTCCTGGGGTTGGCTTCAGTTGATATAAATGGCGAACTGTAGTGGAGGTTTCCCATTGTAATTTCTAGTTCCTGTTAAGGTAGTTATTGATCTGTAGAGAGATTTCTTGAGAACATGCACGTGGTTGTATTGGTTCAGGTAGTTCAACAGCTACCTTTGCCAGTTGGTCTGCTACGTGGGTTGTCTGGGTTCCGCGCGGAATCGCTCGAAATAAATAGCCAAGGATTTTTTTTTCTGTTTTTCTCATGTACTTCTATCCTCCTTAAACATTTTCCAAGTATTCGCTGCCAACTTCAATGCACTTTTGGGCTCTTCTGACCCACGCCGCAAAACACTCGCAAAAGGATGGTTTTGGGAGGTTGTCCAGATGTTTTTGGACAGCTGCAATCAGTTCCTCTCGAGTTTCGAAGTTGTGGCTTCGCAGGGGTTCTTTCATGAAGACATACAGCACATCAATGTCCTGGATACCGTCATGAAGCCCTGGATGGGCATGGTGGCTGCAGGTAGGAAGTATGTCTTCCAACAGGACTCAGCTCCAGCCCACAAGGCCAAGAAGAAACAGGCATGGCTGACGCTTAACGTCCCCAGCCACTGGGGTCCTGACCTTTGGCCCCCCAACTCCCCAGACGGCAACCCCCTCGACTACTATGTGTGGGGCGTTGTTGAGAGAGATGTTAATAAAGTCCCCCACAACACCATCCAGTCAGTCAAGGATGCGGTTCACAAGGTGATGACCCAAATGGACAAGGCCATCGTCGCCAAGGCCTGTGCTTCCTTCCGCACTCGCCTCGAGTCTGTCGTCGCCAACAATGGAGACTACATTGAATAATTCGAAACTGTATCATTTGAACTGCTTCTGTGCCAATTTTCATTTCAATATATTGATTTTTGCTTGCAAAACATGTCTTTTTAATTTCCATTATAGTTTGTCCCAATTTACCTGCCCCACCCTGTANATGTCTAACGTTTATGGTGTGTCTTCGCCTTCTTATTACCAAGTTAAATTTTGGAGCAAGCAGTTTAAGTGGGGAAGAGAGTCAATTGAAGATGACCCAAGGTCGGGGTGCACTTTGCAGGCTTCTGATCAGGAAATTTGTGACAAATTGGAGAGTGCGATACTGGAGGACCGTCGCACCAAAGTCTCTGTTTTAGCTCATGAACTGGGGATTTCAGAGGGCACATTATTCATGAAAAATTACACATGTCCAAAGGCAGTTCTCGATGGGTCCCAAGAATGCTGACTCCAGCTCAGAAGAACAGATCTGACATTTGCAAGGAAAACTTGGAATTTTCTAAACAAATCGGGGAAACTTTTTTTCCCAGAATAGTAACTGGTGATGAAACTTGGGTTCATCACTGGGATCCCGAAACCAAGCAGGAGTCCATGCAGTGGAAGCACAAGGGATCGCCAACGCCTCGCAAATTTCGTGTTCAGAAATCTGCAGAAAAGATTATGGCCACTGTGTTTTGGGACGGCGAGGGACTACTGTTGCTTGAGTTCATGCCAGACGATTGTACAATCACTGGCGATTCCTATGCTACCACCATGAAAAATTTACATGATGCCATAAAGGAAAAACGCAAAGGAAATTTGTCAAGGGAGGTCCTTCTTCTCCATGACGACGCGCCCGTCCACAAATCATGGAAAGTTCAGGCAGCAGTGAATGAGTGTGGCTTTCAGGAGCTCAACCATCCTCCCTACAGCCCGGATCTGGCTCCTAGTGACTATTTTCTGTTCAGCCACTTGAAAAAATGTTTGCGGGGAAAAATATTTTCATGCAATGAAGAGCTGAAAGACAAGAAGTTGGCTTCTATTCCCAGGGAATAAAATCATTGGAATCAAAGTGGAATGAGTGTGTTGAGTTAAAAGGTGACTACATTGAAAAATAAAGTGTTATTTTTCCCCTCGGATGTTTCTTTCTTATTCAGGTAGATAACTTATTAAGTGACCCTCCTACATGAACTGGATATTTTTCATGCAGGCTTTTGCAAAGTAGAAAAGATCCATTGCACTTAGGACTTGTCCGTCGTTTGGCCGCTGGATATTGGCCCTTGTGGCCAGACATTTCACAGTCCCACCAAGACCATCACATGGACCTTTTCCATGACTCGTCACAAAGAAGTGTCACAGTGCGGCGATACCAGTCAGCCTTGTGAATGCACAGGTTTGAGAAGTTCTTTATCATTCATATTGAGCAGTTGCACCATTTTAGAGGTAGAAGGTACTCGATAGCCGTGGACTTCATCATTCAGGATTGGGATGAAAAGATTCCGGTGGCTCACCGGAAAAGATAGTGGTACACAGTCACTGTGTACCACTATTGGCCAATGAATCTGAAATGATGCAGAAATTTAGGTGCACCAGTTTACAAAATACTCGTTTCGAACGTTGCAGACAAATGGTTGCAATGTTGCTTAGCCGTTGTTTCAGCGAAATCTTAGCGCTTCATCTTGCACAACAAATGCATCGTTTTCTGAGAAGCCACCAAAGACAATCGCCTCCTCAGGTTTGAGTTCTTTCTTTGTCTTAGATATGCAGCTTGTTCTCTTGCAATGAAATCGTGGGTTTTCAGCTGTTAGATACGACAGAAATTATACCACAAACTCCTCTGCTGAGCCGTCTCCAGATTTGCCCGATCAGTGGACACCCACTGTTTGTAGGTAATTGTGTCTACCATACCTTTATCAAAGCTGGTCACCAAGTCGTCTTGCAGGAATTCCGTTCCTGGGCAGCTTTTGCATTGCCCCAGGCTTCCGTTGACTGATTACAGACAATATTGGAGGTCAGTTCTTTGTAGGTTCGCCTAATTCTTCCCCCATGTAACAGCAGCTTGACATTTTGATGTACCGTGTATACGTACACGATATGAGTACCACATCCACCTGTCAGAACACATTATTTTGGGCAAACTTCAGCAAACTTTGAAAACCCAACCTGAACATCTGGATTTTTGCTTTTAAATGCTTGGTACACTTCCTTGAGGTTTCCAGGGACCAGTCTATTGGTTCGTTGTTCTCGACTGCCATTCTCTGTTTTTACAAGGACATAGGCCTTTGCAGATGGACACGTTCCAGAAACTGAGTCATCATAGGTAAAATTGCCTCACCAAATCCATCGTTGTTTTTGGTGGTTTCTTGCCTTCAATCTTCTGTGGGCTGGAGCTGGTCCTGTTGGAAGACATACTTCCTACCTGCAGCCACCATGCCCATCCAAGGCTTCACGACTGTCTCCAGGACATTGATGTACTGTATGTCTTCCAACAGCTCCAGCCCACAAGGCCAAGAAGACACAGGCATGGCTGACGCTTAACGTCCCCAGCCACTGGGGTCCTGACCTTTGGCCCCCCAACTCCCCAACTGCAACCCCCTCGACTACTATGTGTGGGGCGTTGTTGAGAGAGATGTTAATAAAGTCCCCCACAACACCATCCAGTCAGTCAAGGATGCGGTTCACAAGGTGATGACCCAAATGGACAAGGCCATCGTCGCCAAGGCCTGTGCTTCCTTCCGCACTCGCCTCGAGTCTGTCGTCGCCAACAATGGAGACTACATTGAATAATTCGAAACTGTATCATTTGAACTGCTTCTGTGCCAATTTTCATTTCAATATATTGATTTTT